ACTCATTTCTTTTCAGTTTCATAAAATATGATAATTTAGACTCACTGTAGGGGGGTCATGACATATATGTCACTTCTACCACTGTGTAGGGTCAGGGTCAAGGTATCAATCTGCAGCTAAAACAGTGCAGCTTCTGTGCATTGTTGTAGTCCAGTGTGAATGTTTTGAAATGTTGTGATGCCTGTGATTTTCCACTGGCTTTACTTGTATTAATCTGTATGGTTTACATACTGCCAGGCTGGAGCTAAAGAATGCCAGAAGATTCAGGAAGTGGGTCAGGGAATTATTCCATAACTCAGTTATACTTGTCTATAAGTCATGTCTTAACAAGTTGCAGCTTGTATGTTTTATAAACTAAGATGAAAAATTGGAACTAGTATTTAAACCATGACAAAACTCAGTGTGCTTAGAGATTGACTAGCATAGAAAAAATTGCCTTGCTCTGGCATATTATGTATTTTATACATACTGAGTACTGCAGTACTCAGTCTTTCATTAAGCTTTATCAAAATTTATTTAGATGTTAAAGTATTTTCTAGCAGAAAATTACAAAATTTTCTCTGTGATTTAAGAGAGTAAAGTTCAACAAAAAATAAAGTCAAAAACTTTTAAACTGAGAATTCTGTTTCATACTTTACTCTTTGTTTTGAATTTTTTGTTTTATAAAAATGACAATACTGCTTTAGGTTGGGATTCCAACTAAACAATTTTTTTTCCTTTGGAGATTTTTTGTTCCATTAATGAATTTTAATTTTAAAAGTCTGGTGTAACATTAATTTGACCAACTATTTTGGGCTATCACATTATGCTATTTTGTTTGTTCAGTATTTTTAAAAAATATATTGACTTGGTATGTTTGGTCTTAATTTTGTCCAGTATATTGTAATTGCCATTCAGATTATATATACTCATAATCAAAACTGGGGTATTACACAGGAGAATGACAAAATTGCCCACAAGCAGCAATTTTTTTTCCTGTTATTCAGCCATAGGCTTGTTATCACAGACATGCACAGTTAGCCACCTATCCAGGATTTACGTAATACAATAGAGAAAATACACTTTTACTCTGGCAAAATAAATTTCAGCCATTGGTCTAAACAGTAAAAAAACCCCATCTTTGACATTACCATGAAGAGTAAAATATTTCACTTTCTGGTAGCATTCAGTCATGTTCACTCTAAATCCTAAACCAAATTAAATCAATGAAGAATACACTCTTCAAATAGGTACTGTATTTATGGAGATATTTGTGAGCCCAAAACTGTACAATTTTCATTTTACTTAATGTTGCTTTCTCTTGGGAAACTGCACTGTAACTTGATTGTAATATTTATGTATTTCCATTCACATATTTTCATTTTGCTACAAATTGGGCAACACATTTGGAATAATATTCTTTATAATCCTGTTCATACTTTTATTACTTGTACTTCTATAATGGCTTTAGGTTTCAGTTGAAAGGGTTAACTTTAGAGTAAATTTTGTATCTTTCTTTCCTAGCCTGCTGAACTGACATCATCAGTTCAAAAATGGAAGTTTTGTATTGACTAGGAATGGTTTAATTGGGATTGGACATCTGCTATTGAAACTTAAGCCTGTATATTTTATTATCTATTATCTGTATGTATGATCATAGTATCTATTATGGGTTAATTATTTTTTTGAAGAAAATAAGTAAATACCAAAACATTTGTTATTTATGACATTTCATGATAGTAAATAACAGACAATAGGACTTGAGCAAAATGTAGGAAGTCATTGACTCCACCTGCTTGCCTCCAAAACAGCACCAGTTCTTTGTGGGTCTTCTGGACAAATATTTCCCTGGCTTTTCTTTCCTGTCATGGAGATTTCATGCTGGAAGCAATGTATTCAAGAAATCAAATATTCTTACTAATAAAGTTGGTTTTGTTGAGTCTTTTTTTTCCTTTTTTTTTAACCAAGCATAGATCAACCCTGATGCTGTTAAACCCCATTATCCTCATCTGGACCTGGAGAAGAGATGATTGGCATTGAAGGTTTTCTTTAAACTACCTTCCTATTGCCTTCTTCAGAGTAAACAGTTCCAGTTCCTTCAATTTTTTTGTGGAAATAGTAATTTTGAGATATTTTGACATCCTCTGGTCTTTATCAACTTTCCCAGTATTTTTTCTGAACTAGAATACCTAGAATGAATGTAGCACTTAAATTTGAACAGTGCCAATCCAAAGAAGGAGTAGTTCTTATATCTTACAGGTTACATATCTGGTTATAATTTTCTCTGTAAAGTTTGCTTTTTTTTGTTTGGCAATGCTGTGATAGTGACAGATAATATCAGCATTGTGTTCTATTGCTAACAACAGATTTCTTCCTGCAGTTTTGCAAACTTACCATGGCATCAGCCAGTTCTCTCAGTACCACAGAGCAGAGTCCATTGAGCTCATCTAGTGTAAAACATCTGTTATCGAAGTACTTACTGGCTAGTTATGTCCTTAGCACAGCCAGAGTGTTCACTATGCTCTCAGAGACATTAAGTAACCATTACCAGAATTTAGTAAAGATTAATGCATAAAAAAGACCTCTTAATGCTTTTGCTTTTTTGGTTCCATTTGTTGAAAGGTTGCCATTGACTAACAGGGTTTTTCCTCTTGATTATTACAGAAGTCAAACAAAATGATTGTTTGAACTTGTGTATTCCTTGGTAACTGTACTTTGGGTTGTGTCTGTATTTGCTTGTGTTTTTCTTTTATTTTCATTCTTTTTTGATCTTGTCAGTAGTTCTGTAATTCTCAGTTTTTCTCACTTGTTAGCTTCAGTATTGTAAGAGAGACATTACACATTCAGTGCAAGAAGATGTTTTACTGATAGTGTAACAGTGATACTGGTTTATTTTCATGGATATATGTGTTATACTGATATATAGGAAGAAAGACACATTTTAAAATAAGTCTGTGTTTAATTTCAAGCCTTAAAATTGACTGTTGATCTGCCAGTAGAATCTATATTGCTTCCAACATATCAGATTTCAAATGGTATAACAACATGATGCAGATTTTATGTCAACTTAATGGAGAGGTAACTATTTCCATGCATGTTAAAATCTATGCTGTAACTAGTACAAGTCTTACTGTAATGATAACTTCAAGAAACAAAAAATAATTGTTGAAACCATCAGCAGTATTTCTTATTTTGTAGAATTGATGCTTCAGCACATATGAAAAATATTTTATTGTGGTTTTACATTAAAAACACTTAAAGTGGTGTGTTCATTTTTAAAGCTGAAAAAATAAAATGCATATATATATAATATACGGTTGTGTTTTTAATTCATTATAAGAAAATTAAAAATTGTTCATTTTTTAAAAACTTTGTCCATATTAACTATCATATGCCAACCATTGTACATGTAAGATAAAGGAATTATGGACTACTATGTTATGTATAAATGCAGTTTCACTGTAGGAGAAGCAGTCCTCACAAGGAGAGACATCACTTTTCAGGTTAGCAATATACTTCTCACAGTTATGTAAAATAATAAAAAGACAAGTTTTTTTAAAAACTCCTGTTGCAATTTTTTTATCAGACAAAGCAAAGTAAATATCAAAGTATAATCTGTTAAAAGGCCACAGATTTCATAAAAGGACAGCTGTTTGTTTTTCTGAGCTGCAGAATATTCTCTGTAGTTTTATAATCATATTGTAGGGATTTTAAAAATATAATTAACAATTTTATAAGTGTGGATAGACTGATTTCTCTAGGAGAACATTTGAGAATTTGTTACATTATTTTATACTCTAGGGCATTTTTTCAAAGTAGATGAAAATATGTTAATAGAGGAAGACATTTCATTCTGCTGAAGTCAGGATGATAAATATAATTAAAAATATAATTTAAAAAAATTGGGGGCATCTTCCTCTAGGACGCTATGTTTAAAAATTACCTTTATATTTAACCACTTTTGTGGGGAAATTTTCTGGTATCTGTTGTTAAAAGAAATGTCGGTAAAAATTATGAAGAACTATGAATATCTACTTCATTGATCACAGAAGTGTTTTGTCTGATGTAAGCTACTGGTCTGATACTTTATGAAGTAGTTCTCTCACATTCTTTTTGGATGTGTTTTCTCACTTGTGATTCTTTACTATATTTGTAATAACTTGAAGAACATGTTAAATTTAAATTCCCTTTGTACTGTGTCTGTCCTACTGTTTCTGTTTACATTTAAGAAATACACTTCAGAAGTTCTGGTTTTGTTAGATCTACCTGGTTTATATTAGCAAACATTACTCAGTTTTGTAATATTCTGTGTTTCATTATAATGTCCACAATTCAGCAGAACATTATCCTCTAGGAAGGGTTGACCAAAAATCCTTTACAGATTCAAAACTCTCATTTAAAGAGATGGGCTTGGGCAGCAGAGCTCAGATCGGGATGGGAGCCAGAGCTTGCCTGGAATGCAGGAGGTGGATGCTGCAGTTTGATTTACTAGGTACTCTGAGTTGTAACTTCCACATTAGTACCAGCTGGCAATGTTCGCTCCAGCTTCTGTTGCAACTATAGCTCAGCTCTCCTAATTTCCATGCAGGTTGGTTCAGCCTTGATTTTATTGACAGTAAACCTGTATTAGAGGTTTAAAAGAATTCACTGTCACATGGCTTAGCTTCCTGCGTTGTGTTCTTTGATTTTTTCTTTACGTCTAGTTGCAGCGACTGAAATAGAGCTTAGCTTATCTTATTCGATAGAGTTTGAATGTTTAGAAAAACATTCAATCTGGTCTATTCACAGCAAGCCATGTTAATAGTTTTCCACCTGAGCTATTCACTCATTTGAATCTTTATGCCATTTACAGACTTTATCAATAATTCCATTTCTTACTATATTTGTGTTATTGAACACTATAAAGTCAAAATATCTAACATGTTTCTTCTTTAGTAGTAATTTTACTAGCACAACTAGAAGTGATTGGGTTTTATATTAAATGCATTTTACATATTTGTTAATTATTTGCTTTATTTTAGGGAGGTGATCCAACAGCCACTCTAATTGCACTGTGTTCAATGAGGGATTTCGATCTGTCTGAAGAAACCTGTCAGCTGGCCATCAAAGACACTGGATGTCTTGAAGTGTTAATTAATTTACTTGATACAGAAGAAATTAAATGTCAGGTAATGAGCTTTGTCAAATGGAGCAATGAATATGCCTTTTTTATTATAATATTTTTTGAGTTTCAAAGTTACAGAGTGTAAAGAAAGTTGATTTCTCATTTCTGTATTTTCTTGTTTTCTTCAGATTTTTAAGAAAGATATCTATGTCTTTGACTTTCAGTTTCCTTCTTTTCCCCTGATTAAATATAAAGAAAAAATTAAATAACCCATCTTTTTAAATAATGTTAATGTTTTTATATACCTAAATAATGTTTAACTTCTGTTGTTTCCCATTATTTAGATTGGTTCATTAAAAATCCTGAAGGAAATTAGTCAAAATATATTGATCAGACATGCAATTGCAGATCTTGGAGGCTTAGAGATCATGGTGAAAATACTGGACTCTACAGATACTGATCTAAAATGTTTAGCAGCTGAAACAATTGCCAATGTTGCTAGATTTAAACGAGCACGAAAGACAGTAAGGAAACATGGAGGAATCAAGAAATTGGTAAGCAGACATTAAAATTTGTACTCTTGTCATATGCATATTTTTGTTGAAAAAATAGATCATATGTTGGAAACACGATCAAAGCATGATAATGTAATTATGTTTATCATAATTAGAAAGCAGCATGATATCAAATTTCCTGTAGATATTAAGAAATTTTTTAATTTTTTTTTTAGGTTGAGCTGTTGGAATCTATTTCAGTGGCATCATCATACCAAGTCAAAGACACTGAAACAGTTCGCTGTGCAGCCTTGGCGCTCTGGAGCTGCAGCAAAAGCATCAAAAACAAGAAAGCAATCCGTAAAGCTGGTGGCATTCCATTACTAGCTAGATGGCTCAAATGCTCACATGCAAACATCTTAATCCCAATAGTGGGGACACTACAGGAATGTGCCTCAGAGGTGAGTAAACACAAACAACTAAGTTATTTCTAAACATTAAAGAAATTTGACAGTAAAAGGAAATATTACATTCTACTGACACTTAGGTCAGTTATCCCATCAGGAAGTAGATGCTTTATGTAATCAAAGTGGTTTTGAGAAGATCACAGCTTGGATTGGAATAAAAACCATGTATTTTTATTTAAAAGGCTAGGAGTAATACATGAAAGAAAAAAAGTGAAATGAAAGCCTTAATCACTTTCTTTTTTTTTTTATTTTTTTCATCATAATTTACAGATTTGGCAGCCTATGGTGCTGTGTTCTGGTTAAGCAATGCATTTAAATTCTACAAAACTAACCTGCAGATGTGGCCAAGAAAGATCTAAGGCAGTGCAGGGCAGAATGGTTTACAGTGTCCTTGTGTATTGGGTCTGATCCATTGCAAATAGAAGAAAGGAATATATGTGATTTTTCCACAGATTTCTGTGGCACATTTTGCTGATTTGAGTATATTCAGTTTTTAAATTTGAATACAAATATTTTTTACCATAGCCATGTAAGGAATTACACTAGTGGGACGGTTCTGTTTAATATCTTCATGAATGACCTGGTGGAGGGGATTGTGGGTACCCTCAACACACTACTGAGTGTGCAGGCACACCAAGGGTGGAAGTGTCAATCTACTGGAGGGCAGGAAGGCTCTGCAGAGGGCTCTGGACAGCCTGGATCCATGAGCCAAGGCCAGTGCTATGAGGTTCAACAAGGCCAAGTGACAGGTCCTGCACTTGGGTCACAGCAACCCCTGCAGTGCTACAGGCTGGGGAAGGAGTGGCTGAAAATTGCCTGGTAGGACAAGACCTGGAGGGCTGAACATGAGCCAGGGTCTGCCCAGGTGGACAAGAGGGCCAATGGCATCCTGGCCTTGTGTCAGCAATAATGTGGCCAGCAGGAGCAGGGCAGTGAGCATCCTGCTCTGCTAGGCACTGTGCAAACCCTGTGTTCTGGGTTCCTCAATTCAGGAAGAGCATTGAGGTGCTGGAGGGTGTCCAGAGAAGGGCAATGGAGTTGGGGAACGGTCTGGAGCACAGGGCTGGTGAGGAGCAGCTGAGGGAGCTGGGGGAGTTTAGCCTGAAGAGAAGGAGGCTCAGAGGGGACCTGAAAGAAAGTTGGAGCCAGGTGAGGTTGTTCTCTTCTCCCAGGTAACAAGCAATAGGATCAGAGGAAATTGCCTCGGGTTGAATCAGAGGAGGTTTAGATTGAATATTAGGAAAAATTTCTTCACCAAAGCAGTTGTCAAGCACTGCCTAGGAACAGACTGCCCAGGGGAATGGTTGAGTCACCATCCCTGGAGTTACTTAAGAGATGTGCAGATGTGGCACTTAGGGATGCAGTTTAGTGGTGGACTTGGCAGTGCTGGGATAATGGTTGGACTCAATGATCTTAAAGGTCTTTTCCAACCTAAATTATTCTATTTGTTTATGATTCTCTATCTTCATTTCAACTTGAGGTGTATTGCATTTCAGATAAAATAATATACATATTTTGTCTTGGTGATTTTGAGGCACAAAAGACATAATTTTAAAAGAGATTTTACATTATTAAACACGTTGTGTGTTAAAAATTAGCTTCTTGAGTTACACCAATTAATGCATGTTCCATGAGACACAAACCTGGCAGGTTTTATGTTCAGTAAGTATGTATTGAGAAGGTGTCATTTTTGAGTGTTTCTTGTATGGCCTAACTTGGAAGGAACACTAAATGCATTTCTTACACAGATGTTTCCCCCACTTAAAAATTATCCAGTTACAATGCCTGTGGCTTAAATTTGCATGACAATATCACTAAAAAATTTAAACTCTAAGAACGTTTTTTTCTAACCTTGTTTTAGGAATAGATCTGTTGTTGTGGCTGCTGGTTCTTGATGAAGTGAGTGGGTAGTTCTTGATCCCATTCTGAAGCATCTTTTGCTTTCTTGGGTCTGAGCAGGGAGTCTGGACACCTTTCAGAATATTCTGCATTCTTCATAAGCTAAGTGGCTGCAGGATAGGCAGTGCAGTACCTGAGTTTACAGGTGATTTGAAGAGCACTGCAGATATTTGCTACCTCTGAGATCATCAGTAGTATTTTCAAGGCAATGATGACTTGTGCTTACATAAAGTACAAGGCTTCTCAACATCAAACCCTATAACTGTAGCATTGTATTATTGTTGTGACCTATTAACTGTTAATATGCAGGATTTAAAAGATGCACTTTATCTTTTTAGCCAAGTTACAGACTTGCAATAAGAACAGAAGGCATGATTGAGACCCTAGTGAAAAATCTGAGTAGTGAACATGAGGAGCTCCAAATGCATTGTGCAAGTGCCATACATAAGGTAATTTTATTATAGTCAGTAGATCAGAACCAGCATTAGCCCTTTGTTTTCATGTCATTGTCAGTTTTAAATTTTCTTAATTTCACTATTTCTCTAATGTGTAAAAAATTATAGAAATGTTGTGAATATTTTAACTCCATATTTAATATTATAATTAGGTTCCTATTTGCTCTTCTTGTGTACAAGCATTAAGTTGCACAGGTAACCAGTGAAGAGTGGTGAGGCATACTGTGCATAGAGCTGCTTGGGTTTTTTTGTTTGTTTGCCCCTAAAGAGGACAATGTGACAGTATAAGCACTGCTGCATATACAGCAGCAATTTACTGTCACTCTCTCAGTGAGTTGTTAGCATATTCAGAGACTTGAATGCAACATTTATGTTTTCTCCTCTATTAGCTTGTACTAGTTACAATGTAATACAGCTAGCTTTTGAAGACATAATCTTACAGACTTTTACATAATATATATGTTTAATATGTATATTTTTTTATAGTGTGCAGAAGATGAAGAAATACGTGACCTGGTTAGAAAACATGAAGGTCTACAACCACTATCTGCTCTGCTTGATAAAAGTGAAAACAAACAACTTTTGGCAGCTGTGACAGGAGCAATCTGGAAATGTGCAATGAGTAGAGAAAATGTGTTAAAGTAACTTAGTAATTTAATTTTACAAGCATTTCTTACATTATCGTGCTTTGATTTTACAAACCTCTATTGTTTTCAAAACTGTTTTGTCATAATTCTTCAAAATCAGTCTTTATAATCAGCTGGGCTTTCACCTTAGGTTTTGTAGTACTTAAAAAATGCCACCTGACCTCATCAGGGTAGAGACAGTGTTAAGTTACTAGAATCTTAACAGTCAATGGAGGCAAGTGGTGCCTCTAGTTAATCTACAGGACTCTGAGTCAGGAGGTCACATTTGACACGTGGCCATATCTGATATCCCCCCTCCTGTCTGTACTTTAGAAGCCAGAATCACTGCTGCATGGTAGAGAGAGTTGGGCAGAGAGTAAAGTGTAAAACATTACACTTTAATGTTTTACATCAAGAGAGACAGAGAGCAAATTTTCTCATTGTAGGGTAGACATCTAATACATATTAGAAATATACTGGAGTCTAGGATAACTAGCCTAGATACCTCTCTTCTTGGCTACAGACGGGGCTCAGAAAAGTAGCTTAGTCTGGAAACCCAGCTTCCAAATTAGTGGAATTAACTGATGAGAGTTCTCCTGTGGGTGCCAGCAAACTCTCAGTGCCAGGGTTCTGAGTAATTATTTGAGACTGTGACAGTAGAAGTTGTCACTCTCTACCTTCCATGGAGCAGCTTAATGATCAAGAACATTTTACCCGCTCATCTGAAATTACTATAACAAATTCATGCACCTTACCTAGAAAAAGGAAACTGGCTCCACTACATCTGTGCTCAGTTTCCTGCTGAAATTATGCTGTTCTGTATGTAGAGCATGTAGAAAGATTAAAAGGAGTATTAGTAAGGGGTAACATCTTCCTGCTGTCCTAATTTAGTGTACCTTGCTGGATAAGTGCATAATGATAGACCAAGACTGGGTAAAAATTAGGAAGATTTCCAAGTTTTACATTCTGGCTTTTTACTGTCCTAAATGAGTTCCCTAACTGTTGGTATACAGATCTATGGTCTTTACTTCCTCTACTGCTGACCTACTGCTTTTTTGCATTCTTAATTGCACAGTAACCTAACTTTTCGTATGGATGTATCCTTCTTTTCTGTGGACTTTGGGTTTGTGCAGAGGTATCCTGATTTTGGATCAATCAGTGATGAGACAGACTGAATGGCTTTCTCTGTACTAGTAAACTAAGCAGGGCCGAATCTTTCAGGTTTCAGGCTCTGTGTTAGGATTATCCATACTGTTTAACTGCCAGCACAAGCTCTTACACAGTGTGCCAGCAAATGCTCTCCCAGACAATGCCCAGACACTCCTTGGGAACGGTGCAGGCAACAGATTGTTCCCATTAGGCAGCATGGGTGAGGCCACCCTGCATTGTGAGGATAAGAGATTTTAGCCATATGGATGCTATGTTGTGCTTCTTGTCCTCAGGGCTAGAGAATGAGCCCTAGCCTGTTTTATTTATTAGTATAGCTGTAGCCAATAATTCTGTCCAACTGCAAACAGATTTTTGTTGGGCTACTCACATATCTTTGGCAAGTGCTTGATGCTCACAAAGGTTACTAGCCCGGCACAGCTCCAGCTGAATTCACGTATTGTGTAGTGCTGAGTCTGAAGCAGTAAACCCTGTCCAAACTCAAGATGGGAGGCCACTAAAGAAAAGGGAGTGAGGATAATATGAAAACACCTAAGTAGATCTGAAGGGATGAGCCTGAGTCTGGCATGAAGCTAGAACTAACAAACTCTGCTGGCTCCTGCAGGGGCACTTAATTATCTCTGAATTGCTCCAGAGTATTTCCTCTACCTGGAGGTCGCTGCTGAGAGGTTGTGCTGACTCAGCCGTGAGCCGGGGCAGGTGCCTGTCCCTGTCCCTGTGTGTGTGCCTGTCTGTGCCTGTGTCTGTGTCTGTGACTGCGTCTGTCTGTCCCTGTGTCTGTGCCTGTCTGTGTCTGTGTCTGTCTGTGACTGTGCCTGTCCCTGTCCCTGTGTCTGTGACTGTGCCTGTCCCTGTCCCTGTCCCTGTCCCTGTCCCTGTCCCTGTCCCTATGTGTGTGCCTGTCTGTGTCTGTCTGTGACTGTGCCTGTGCCTGTCCCTGTGTCTGTGTCTGTGACTGTGTCTGTCTGTGACTGTGCCTGTGCCTGTCCCCGTGTCTGTGCCTGTCTGTGCCTGTGCCTGTTCCTGTGCCTGTTCCTGTCCCTGTGCCTGTTGCCCGTGCAGCTCCGGGCGCAGCTGGCGTGGGAGCGGCCGTTCTGCTCCTGGACACAAGATGGCCAGAGCCAGCAGCAATGCCTGAGAGCAGCCTGCCCGCTGCACAGCCAGCTCACAGCACCCCATCTGTGAAGAAGTTGAAAAGCCAGCAATAATTAGTTTTGTTTTGTTGTTTTTTAAAATTATTTCCTTACTTTATTGTTCTTTTTTCATGCTGTTGATGTTTACTCTTGAAAAAAATAATGGTAGGGATACTTCCAAGTTACAGTGAACAAGGAGAGGAAAATTTCTCTTTTAGCAAAGGTGATGAAAAACAAAAGTTTCTCATTTCTCAGTTACTTTAATTATTATGCTGATAACCCATCTTGGAAAGATTAATTTTTATTGAAACATCTAGTTCTGCCATAAAAATCTCAGAAATACTAATTTTTTTTTGTATAAAAAGAAAAGCCACATGAGCAACTCGTTCCTGGAAAATAGTTTTTGTAGCTCAAGCAGACATTCCCAGAAGCTAGGGGCTGGGAGGAAAACACAAATGAGAACTCAGTACTCTCAGAGACATTTTCTCTGATGATTAGATTATATACAGGTTAGATCTAGCTTGACATACCACATAGAACTGTCAGGGTATATCAGAAGATGTATAAAAAGAAGATGCAGTATTTGTTAAGTGTTAAGAATCCCCTAAGTTTTAAACAAAAAACAAGCCAAAAACCCAAACCCTTGAAAATTATTCAAGCACTGAGGAAAAAAAACCTATTCTGAAAGATGAACTTCTTAGGTTTAGCACACATGTCTTTGTAGGATAGGACCATCAAGATTTTTGAAACCATATTTTTGATTCTCAGTATCAAAAGTTCTATGAAGAATGGGGAAAGTATTAATCTAAGAGTCAAGTCAAATTTCTGTTAATTTATTTCTTAATTACCAGTTGGAATCTAACATTGTGCTGTGGAAATGTACTAAAACTATGGTTCTGACATCAGGAAAATGCAGTGTATTAGGCCTGAGCTGAATATAGAACTGCTCAGGGTAAGCTCTAAAGGCTCATATTTAGTGAAAAGTAAGGGCCATCGTTTGGTTCAGAGAGGTGGAGGAAGGTCTGGTGCCATACTACTATAGCTATTGTTAATACAGCAGAAAAAAGTGCTGGAAGTAAGGATAGCACATTAATTGCCAGTCTTCTGGTTTGTTTTCAGCTGTTTGTATGTGTTGCATCTACATGTCAATTTTAAAAAAACACTGAAACTACTCAAGAGGTTCTTAGACAACTAAATTGTAGAAATGTAGTTAGAAAGTTAGAGTAAGACATTAGGCTGTATGTCACATTTCGAATAATTGTATGGAATCGTTTACCTGTATTGGGATTTCTTCAGCAAGATGATTTACATACAGAAATTAAAACTTGTACTTCAATTATAATAGTACTTTATTAGAAAATTAAGCTTATATTGGTAACATACTAAAAATACCAACTTTGGATTTATTGCTGTCTTTTAGATTTCAGGAATATAAAACTGTAGAAACTTTGGTAACATTGCTGACTGATCAGCCTGAGGAGGTCCTTATAAATGTCATTGGAGCACTGGCAGAATGTTGCCAAGAGGAAGAAAACCGAGGCACCATCCGCAGATTGGGTGGAATTGCACCTATGGTGACGTTACTGACTTCAACTAATCCAGCCCTGCTTGTGAATGTCAACAAAGCAGTGGGAGGTTGTGCCATGGACCCTGAAAACATGGCGTAAGTTATTCATATTCACAGCATTTTAAATATTGAAAAACAGTTCAGTTATTCTGGTGCAAATATAGTCAATTCTAATCTGATTTAAAGCATTTTTTGCTTCTTGCTTTTTACAGAACTGTGTGGGTTAGTTACTAATCTTACTGTAAGTTTACTATAGATAAAAAAATATTAAGGAAATATATAGAATGTAAAGATTTTGCATTTTGATAAAAATCAAATAAACCTTTAGTAAATTGATTTTTGTGTAAGTTGAAATTCAAAGTTTCAAAGCACCATTTTAAAGTGCTGCATGATAGGTCCATCTTTTACACTCTCTTTTTACTCCTGTTCTTAAGTCATTAAAAATATCCTAAATTAGAGAAAGTTATTCTAAAAGGAAATGTACACATTTACTGTCATGATAATAAGCTAAATTTTTTGTAGTAGAGTATTGTTTGTATTGTATATATCTTTTGTCCCTCCCCATAATTCCTTTTGTGAACTCAAACAGTTTTGAAGCCTTCTCTCCCCTCTTATTCCTTTGTAAAATCAAAGAAAAAGACAGCCTTTGATTTTGTGATGTCAATTTGGACAAATTACGAAGATTGTTGAGTTTTATGAGAGGTGTTTCAGTTAAATGTTGAGGTCGGCATTTGCTGTGCTTACTGTTCTCTTGCAAGGATATTTACCTCAAGATTCTCAGCATATTTTCCTTCTTATACATAAAGGAGGTCAGAAAGAGAGTTTTATTAAGCTCCTCCTGTTCTGATTTGCATAATTCACTTGATATTCATATAGCAGTGCAGGGAATTCTTTTCCTGAATAAGGCTTTTGTTTTCATGCTTTGGCTGTCACCCAGTGGCAAAAGACTGGATGGTACACAACCATAAACATGGGTTGTATGAGCAGTTAGCCATGTAGCATAAAAGTATAAATAAATGAAATCATTTCAATGACATTTCTCACTAAAAACCAGCCTTTAGCATAATATATTAACCTAAGAGAATTAGCATTGCAAATACTGAGAAACTTAAATGCCAATAAACATGAACTGATATTTATAAAACCTCAGACATACTCCAGTACTCAGAACTGTCACTTGTAGTATCCACTATGGACAGCTTCATACTGGAATGTGTTCAGTATAAGCATAAAAAAATGCAAGTTGCTTCTGAAAACTGTGATAGAACAGAGTCTGTCTTGTCTTTGAGAAGGAGAAAGTACAGGTTTGGGACAAAATTTGTATTACAGAGTTTGTAAAGAGTGAACAAAGGAATCAAATACTGAATTTCGTTCATATAAAACATTCTCTGTTGAAGTTCTCAACTTTAGAAGTGTTTCTAAAAGTATTTCAAAACATTAGCAAGTAAGCAAGATCTTAAATAAATGTAACTATACTTTTTGGTACTACAAAAAAAGTTGCACAAAAATTATTAGCATGACTGTGCCATGTACCTGATGTATTGTGCTAGCTATGCTTGTAGTACTAGAAGAGATAATGCTGCTATATTTTTACCAAAGCATGATTCATCCAAGTGTGAATAAATTCAGCGAAATTTTAAAAAATAATGCTTAGTTAAAACATTGACAACAGTGTAATTGCTAATATGTCTAAAGTATTTCCTTGATTGAGTGCTCTGCCTCTCACAGGGCACTTAAAAGCAACCTCCCCTCCCACCACTGACCCCCGCCTCTCTCTCAAAAAAAACCAAGAAAAAGAAAAAAGTATGTCCATTCCTCTCCCTTCTCCTCTCAGCTCAGTACAGCAGAAGCTGAAATTGTGTCTCCTTATCCAAAGTGCTGTCCTTTTGGGGAAGAACAAGTCACCAAAGACATGAAATACACACACCCACAGAGTCTGTAGTATGACTCTTTTCTGTTTACAAAATTGGGGCCTAAAACAATAAACAGCCTTGTTAGAAACCACTGTGGAAGTCAGTCTCTTTATGTAAATATTTTCTGATGTTCTTTATCAAAAAGACACATTTTAACAAGGGTGTGGAAGTGTGCCAAGATTACCTTCTAGAAAGAAGCCAAGGAAAGCCACTGGCAGACTGCACATACATACAGGTGATGAGACCTTTCTATTGCAGCAGGTTGATGCTTAGGTGTTCATGCTGTTTCAGATTCATACAGCTGGATCCTCATTACATTTCTTATCTCATAATCATTTCTCAGAATGGTTTCACAGATTCTAGGTTATCAGTTCTCTATTGTCTTTTTTCCTACCAAATTTGGCTGGCAGATCTGTGGTACAGACAGGCTGTCTTTGCAGTGTAACTTTTTTTAGTTTAGCAGCATAGAAACTTTAAAAATTATGATGATTTTCCTGGATTCTGCTATCATTGCCTTTCATATGTAGTAAAATTTAAGCTTTCCTAAGAACTGAGATTTTTCAGATACATTCTTACATTTCATTAGCTGCAAGTGTGTTTGACAAAGTGTGGCTTAGAGACTAAATATTCAGTTTAGCAGTCTTCTACTTTGAATGTGCTTATCCTTGCTGCAGTAGGTATGTGAAGACCATACAGACCAAGAGTGGAGCTCACATAATTTCTGTAAATGATTCAGATATATAAGGAAGAGGTTGTGATTAATATAAGAAATAAAGCATCATTATGGACTAGAAAAAGCTAAGAGTATGCTATGAATCAGTGCAGTTAAATTCTGAGGGAAATACTGTGCTCTTATTTTATGTTCTGTGGAAGAAGCTTACACTGACAGAGAGTGCATAGTTGATAGACAGGCATATGTGAATGTACATCTATATGTCTTTTAAATATTTTATTTCTGTCATGTTTCCTAGTTTACACTGTGTCTCTTACAGCTACTGAATGGAAGGTACACTATTATTTCTGCACCAATCCTCTACTTCAGGGGAAGGAATTACGTGAAGGAATTACGTGATTTTTGCTGACTCTATTGAGCTATTTAAAATAAAAAAACACCAGCCAGCTTCTCTCACAGCCAAAAGTGCGTTGACTTATCTAAAAAAAACCAACATAATTATGTGACTGGACTTCCTTACACTAATATAGACAGCATGAAGCTGTTCTCCATACTTGGTCTGCTGTACCACCACTGACAGAGATGTTGCTGTTTATTTTTTTTAATGTATATTTATCTTTTTAGGAACTTTTTGTAAGTTACTTTTTGTAACTTTCTTTATAAACAAAGGACTAGAACTTATTCTTTAACTGATGCTAGCTTTTCATTTACCCTTTCCATTTGAAAATCCATAGACTGCATCGCTGGCATTCAAGACTGAGGATTATTTTAGCCAAGCAGATGGAGTTTGAGTCATTGGTATATAATACTATTTATCAATGCAGTCAGCAGCAACCAGTGAAAGTTTAAAGAAAAATGCTAAATTGTGGTCTCAAAAAAGATGAGATTACATTCTGACAGAGTAAAACCCTGTAATCTTACCAGTGAGCACAATACAGAGTCAGTATAACTTTGTTTATTTACATTTGTATTTGTGGTCTAAATTGGCAGGCAATTAAACTGAAGTTCTCAAAGTTCTGGTAAGTAACATTTTAGCAGTGAAAGATGATAGATATGACAAACAGATGTCTAGGCTGTGTGTACATATGTGTGTTTAAGCAATTCATGTTGATATTTCTACTGGAAATGTTCAATATTAAGTTTTAACTTGAAAAAGAGGTATTATTTCAGATTAACAGTTTTCAGATATATTTTAAAAAGCAAAGTAAATTTCTAGAATTGCAAGCCCCATCTTGCTCATAATGTTCAATGATGTCATGATAATGAGATTCTTAAATAATGTGAAAAGTCTTCATTGCCTGTGAACACAGAACAAAAGTAATTTTAAAAAATTATCTTAAGTTGACCAATCTGCACTGGTCAAATAGCAAATACTAATTCACTGTAGCCTAAAAATTGCAGTTATCTCTGAATGGGTTTAATTGCAATAAAGTTATTCGCCCATAAGTCCTATTCTATGTACACCATACATATGTTCTGTGTTGGAAGCAGGAAGATGTTTTGATCCTACACCTTGCAGCTGCCTTTTGGTAGGAGTGATGATGCCAGCTGAAAATATCCCTTCACCTCTGCTCTGATCATGTCTGGCCAACCCAGGAGTACATTACAAGAGTGCCTCTTCAGCCAGTTCTAATTGCCATTGCAATTTCTTTTGGTCATTTTGAGGAGCAAAATAATATTCTAAATTATATCATTATAATTACTATATTATATAATCACTTTATTATAAATAAAAATTCGGAATTATATCTATTCTAAATTATACCAGTGATCAAACAAGATCAGTCTGTGACAGAGAGCTTTGATTTAGAGGAGGTGGCCCAGTTCTATTGTGAGATGCCTTGGGATGCTGAGGAATAGAGGCACAACAGTTCAGACCTGGGCTCTTGCTTTTGAACTCCACATGTTTTTGTTGTTATGTATTTACAGTGAAGGACCAAGTGGCTTCTAATAAAGTTTGCATTTCTACTGTGAGTGAGTTTCATGCCTGTTTGGATTTTGACTATTAATAGTGTGCTGTACATTAAATACATTACACACACACACATACATACAAAAGTAGATCAACTATTCCATAAAGCATTTGAATATTGAAGTATTAACTATTAAGACTTTTATATCAATTAAATACTGTATTATTGCAGCTTTTATGAGATTCCATTCAGCTTTCAAATAAAATGATTTGCATTTTTATTTAAAAACCTGTCTTTTAACAGTCCCTTGAGTGGTTGCTTGCTCCAAATTTTAGTCTAGGTTAATTTTATCAACAGAGTATCAACAAATTATAATAATATAAATTACATAAGTGACTGAAGCCACAGAGTGAATAATGTGCTAACTATGGATGAATACAGAATTGAATGCCAACCAAAGTAATTTTTATGTTACATTTGCTTGTATTTATTGTGGAAAGAAGCTTTATTACTTCATCCTGCTAATAATATTATAATACATTGTGGGAAGAAAATTGGATACAAAAACTATATAAAAAAGCAAATCATAATGTTGTTTAGCATTATGCCATCAAAGCTAGAATTTTCAAGATTACAGGTCTATTTTCTTCTCTTTATTTTTGTAAAGAAAACTGAATGTGTATTTTTTGTCAGCTTCAAATAGGAGTTTTTACCTAGGAAGGAAGTTAATGTCTAAGCACTTTTATAGAGGAAACATTTTTCAGGACCATTTATTTTAGTGTTCCCTTTGCCATAAAGGCAAATGCACTCATTCAGCACCCATTTTCTTCATCTGCTGGATTGTGTAGTCAAACCAAAGGAAGATTAAAAATTGAACTTTTTAGCACTGCTTTCTAGACTGGGAAATATATGTTCTCAGAAAAATGAAAATAAGGTTTGTTCTTGCATGGTGATTACACAATTACAATTCTTCCAGAGTGAGAATTTAAGAGCATTATTCCTGTATGTAGAGGCATTTTTATTTGTGTTAATCTACTGTAACTGCAAGTAGTCAGTGATGAACAATGTGATTTGGAGGTTTATTGTTTTGTTTCTACTGTTTCCTGGTTTCATTTTATGCATGTTGAGTGGTCAGAGAACTATGCTTTCACATAGCCTGAGCTGGGTTCTGTTGATCTAAGACAGCTGGTCTTTCCAGCCTTTAAGCAGAAGGCAAAACCCTTCTTCAGCAAATTAGTAATAGAGGGACCCTAGTTTACCTTGAAATACTGAAGACCAGAAAGCTGAAAAGAAAATGAAAGTAAACTTCCAATTGAAAATGAAGCTTTAAAGGAAATAGAAAGATAAATCAAGTCTAGGGGTTGTTTTTTAAGTGTGTTTGAAAAATCTGAGCTGAGTGTTTGGTTCCTATCTTTTGATTTTTATATACTTGTTGGAGCTGGGTCATTTATGTTTAGGCCCTTTTGGGAGGAAGTACCTCATCTTGGTAAATGATCAGTACTCTGCTTGACTAGAGGAAAGATTCATGGGTTCTTTTTAATTAATTCCAATACAGGAAAAATAATCCTGAAATCACAGAAGAGTAATGTTAAAATTGCTTAAAAGTGTTTGGGGTTTGGAGGGACTTAAAAGTTTGTTTTGAAGCTTTTACTTAAGTTACCATTACTATGTCAATATATATGTGTAATTGAGTAGTTTACAATCCTATTGTTTTATTTTGTCGTGTTAAAACTTCTGAATTTGTTCTTTGATGATTTTCTTGCAATTGATTTGGAGCTGAGTGAGTAAAATAAGCTATACTGAAACTGGCAGATCTTTGAAAACTTAGGGGTTTTTAGCTTAACCATAGCTTTGTTCAAAAAGTATTATTTTGAAAAATACAGTTGTTTAAACAGTTTGCATAAAAATCTTATGAATAAAGTCCTTGCTTATTTTAGACAGACTTCATGTCCTTATTTATTTTTTCTGCTTCAAATGATAATGGAATTACACACAAAGTTAATTTTATAGCTAGTTTTAAAATTTTCTGGCAAAGCATATATAGTGAATACAAATAAGATGCTTTACCTGCTGTTTTTTAAGCTCTCTTAAAAATGTGTTTTGAATTCTCTTGCATTTACAATTAAAGCTAGAAACACATTATATGCAATGGAATTTTTTACTTTTGAGGTGTGCTTACTTCTCTTCAGCTCATCTGCTTTGAGCTTAACACAATTTTTTTGAAAAAAGGCATGTTAGTAAAGGCTAGGAAGTTTTGTCTGACCTTCCTTTCCATTTAGGGTATTCATTGGAACCTAATGTGAGGTTATGATCTCCAAGCCTGATCGAAACATAAACATAACCCAGATACTGTAGAGATGATTTTGCTGCTGATTCATTTCTCAGTTAGTCATGAAGATACTTTGATTATAGTATGTTTCAATAGTTATAACATAGTGCTCAGTGCTGGTCTTGTTAGGAAGGAACATATGGGAAACAAGTTACACGTTATTCATGCCCAACAAAGGATGCTCTGTAGTGTGACCATTTTAATTTCTAATGCTTGATTAGAAACATAGTTTTTTAAAATATGTCATAGAGCAAGGTAAATACATTAAGCATAGACTGAATAAAAACTTAAGTACATAGTTTTGGGCATAAATATTTGTTTTGGAAAGTATTTGTTACTATGTGAAAGAAGCCAGTATTCTCAAACTCAGATTTCACTTTGCATGTGGATCATTAAAAAGTCACATGCTTGTTTTCACATTTATGAGTCCTGGTTATAATGTAGCTTGCTTTATCTTCTATAAGTATCTGAATGACAGTGCTGGAAAAAATAAACAACATTAATGAGATTAGTTAGAAAACATTCTGTCTTTACATCAGTTATTGGCACCCATCTGTTATAGTGGGCACTGTTTGTTGAATATGTTGATAGTGATTAGCTGACAATAAAACACAAGCATTTGCATAAAGCAAAACAGTATGTCAGAATGATGCCTGTGTTTCTTAGAAGAGTGTTCCAAAAAAACTGATATAATTTGAGATTTAACATCGTATACTCCATAATTAATGTTCCCTTTTTTGGTCTGTTTCTGCAATAGGATAATTGACAGTCTAGATGGAGTCCGCTTGCTATGGTCATTGTTGAAAAATCCTAACCCAGGTGTTCAAGCAAGTGCAGCTTGGGCTCTTTGCCCTTGTGTTGAAAATGCTCAGGTAAGAAAGTATTTAAAGTAACAGTTTTTTTATATTTATACTCATATAATTTTTATATTTGAATAATTTCCAGCAGTACTTTGCTGTTTGCTACTTACACTCTCTTTATTTTATTCTGTTAACTGCTTAAAAAACATGTGTATTTACTTTTCAAAAGTGAATAGTCCTCCATTTAGCACCCATTATATAATCTGTTTTGCCTTTACAGTGTTTTCTGTATTGACAGATATATTTTAGTAACTTATCAGTACCTAAGCTTACTCTTCCCAATAAAGCATGATGAAAATCTGACAATGCTGAAAACAGAAAGCTTCTACTCCCAGGCTATGAATAGCATGGGTAGTTCTGGTTGTTCTCCACTGTGGTCTACTTCAGCTGTGTTCTCAAGAGACCATCATTTGGTTTTAGAGCACATTTTAGACTCGGTGCCAATGTAATCTTCAGGTTTTCTGCTCAGACTGCCAACAAAAAGTGCCAGTTGTGAATAGTGGTGGTTGTGCAGGTCAGTTATGTACAGAAGACTGAGCTATTCATTTACTTCATGTCAGTTTCCAAATAGAGATAAAATAGTGAGGATAAACTGCAAGTCATCTCTCTGAATACTTAGCACTGACATATGATAAAATAAATGGGCAAGGTTTTCTTTCCCATTAGAAGTTTCCTAGAGTACTAACTTTATACCTTAATCCTTGTACTGTAGTACAAGTAGTAGTACTTTATGAAAAATATATATCCTTCTACACAGGATTGGAGATCCTGACTATGTAAAGAATAGTAATTGCTTCAAAGTGCAAGAAATCTGTGGCATCCTTTGCAGGCAGTTCCCTGTTTGGGATTGAGCACTGTGTGGCTGCTATTAATTTATGTAGATGATTCAATGATACAGATATATAGATATAGAGATATATGGATTTATAGTGAGAAAAATTTGTGTTGTTTTTTATAACTTAAGCATTTTTTATTTCTTCCCAATGATTTCTACAATGGCAGCTTGCTTGTCGTTTTTCACACATGCTGGTTATTCTGAATTATCTTTTCATCTTTTTTTTTTTCCTAAATGTGCACTATATTGCAGTAAAGTTTTTTGGTGCCTAATGGTGCAGTGTAAACATCTCTCTTCTGTAAAGATATGAATACAACTGCCTCTCTCTTGAACAATATTGCTATAACTGAATGTTAAAATACTACTCGATCTCAGTAATTCTTCCTATGTGTAAGACTCTGCAACTTGATGTGCCAGAGTAGAACTGCATATTGGTAGAACTTCCACTAAAAGCACTTTTACAGAAACTAAGGGAATAGAGGACAGCTACTGAAATTATGCATTACATGGATTTTTTCTTCATTTTTTTTCCCTGGGGTGTTTGATGAGTGCAAGCTATGTACACCCTTAGTGTAGCTATTCTCCTTTCATCTCTCTTGGCTGCCTGCCCTAATGCTAATCTGTGATCCCACAAAGAGTTCTTTGTGTGACACTGAGGCCAAGTGGCTCCCTGAAACAAACCTACAATAATACCCTTTCCGCTGACGCTGAATAGAAAGAAATATGTATAAAGCAGCAACTGCAGCCACACTGAGGAAGTGCAGCAACTATTTCTATCTAAAGAGAATGTGGGATTTTTTTGTTCAAAGTTAATATTATTCAACAATCTTCCAAGGAGCAGTTTGGTTTATGCAGTGCTTGATTCAAAAGCAGTAATAAGTACACGACTTTAAAGGGTAATGTGTGTTCTGGCCTTTCTAAGCCTGTACTTGGGACTGCAGACTGTGTTTCAAATAGCTGTGAGAATGGAGTCTGTTTTCTTTTTGTGTTCTTTTGTGGAAGCTGTAATGGTTCTCTTCTGTGTTACGGAGGTTCACAGATGAAATTGAATTTGCTAGTAGTATCATAAACAAATTTTTATAACAAGTTAATGCAGCATCCATTTTTCTGCACAGATATTTTCATTTTACTACCAACTTAAAGGTTATTTTGTGTATTTTAAAAATCTTAGAAGCTAATCAAACATTCTGATTGGGCAGTTCTTTTGTAGTATGTGATTACATGTTTCTTTTTCATGCTTACTCTCACCATAATCTGTTTAGGAGTACTTCTCATAGAATAGAATTTTATCAGTCTGGTGTAGCTAAGCGATATTGTTTGTAAAGGAATTAAAGGAATTATCTTAATAGAAGCAGATTCTTATTAATGAATTCTTTACTTCCTAAAGGAAAAGTTACTACTGCAGGCACATTGCTAGTAGCAAAGTGTAAGTGCAGTGTCCAAGAAATACAAATGATTATGAAAAATGAGTAAGAGAAGTCTACTCAACTCTGTTGATGTTGGAACAGCAATATTTGGTTATGATGCTTCTTTGAAAAACAGTACTTGTAATGTTCTCCCAACATACATCAGCCCAAACATAAACATTTGGAGAAATTCTACAAAGATGTAATTTGGGCTATTATAAAAATCACCCAAATGCATTGTGCCAATAAAAGGAACACTGCCAGCTTGAGTCTGTATGAAAATTCCTATTTCCTCACAGAGGAACTTTCTACTAAAATCTTTAAATAAATTAAAAGAAAAAAAAAGAAAAGGGGAAAAAAGTTCTAGTGCTTATTTTCTGTCCTCATATTTAGTAGAGTTTTGGGTGCAAACATTAAAATGCAAATGGCAATATCAGGCATCGTGTTTTTCTGTCCCATGTGCTTGCATATAAACTTTCAACTTGCAATTTTAGCCTTGCTATAGCTACAACTGTGAGGCTTTCTCAAAGAGCTTCATTAAGACATTTATGTATAGAGTTGTGGTTTGAGCTAGGGTAGAGTTAATTATTTCTCAGTAGCTGTTACAGTGCTGTGTTTTGTCTGTCAAAATAATTTAAGTTAAGAGTCAGAGACTGGGGCTTTGAAAGACAAGAGAGAGAAAATTACTCTGTTTTCTTAAAATTTACCTGTGGAATGACATCTCACCTTTCTCTGATACACTGTGGTTTCAGTTCTATAGGAGACTATCTTGGGTGTCATGAAAGATGAGACCTCTAAAGTTGTCTGTGTATTTATTTCATAAGGGGAAAGAGAATGCTCATGCTGACACCAAAAAACCCCAAAACAAAACCAGACTTAAGAGGGAAGGGTCACGAAATGGGTATGTGTAAAAGTTGATTAGTGTTCAGTCCTGCAGCAGTGTTATATAATGAAGAAGTGAATTTTGCAGCCAACCAGCCTAGAGTTACCCTATGTGTAGAAAATATGCTGCTGATGACCTATTCTTACATAGATTTTCCTTGTTATGGAAAGTTTAACATAACCATATGTATAAAACCACAGAGAGCATTTCTTTTCTAAGAATAACAAAGAAATGTAGTTGAAGTTAGAAATTCTTCTAATATTTAAAAAATAGTAAAACCATTTGCTGTTTTAAATACATTAAGATGCTTTGATTGCACATTTTAACAATTTAAAACTATAGTGTATAAAGATAATTGTGCTCCATACTGCACACTGTTGTTCCTTTGTTTTACATTTTAAATATTTTAGTTAGGTACTACCAATGCATTTTTGTTTTTGTACCATTCTTGGGTTAAGCCTTAAATGTCAAAATTCCCTGCTTGTGTATGCACAGTGTTTTCCAGTTTCTTTGTTTGCCTTGCTGTGCTTCTTGCAATTTTACACAGAAACCTTGGTTCAAACTTAGTGCTCTGACTGCTCTCGTTCTATTTTTCTATTTGTTTTCTCTAGCCATTAGAATTTTTTACATCTATCATACCTGCTTCTCTGTGTTTACTCTCATTTTATGCAGTTTTTACTCCCTAGTATCTGGATTTAGATCTTCCAAATTTTTAAGCATTTTTTTATTGACCAAGCATCAAATGCATACCATTAGAGAGACAAAAAGGAATTTTTTGCTTGCCTCTGAAGCCTTTCAGAGAACCTGGGTCCTCAGAGATTTAGGAAGCCCAGGAACTGGCTGCCTTGTTTAGTGAACTGACTCTCAGGAGTTATTTGGGCCTCCTACAGACGTTTTGGAGATTCTAAATGGACTGACATAAATTGCCCTGAGGTCTTCAATGTCTACAAATCTAGGAGTCCAGTTTCTGTAAAACACACAACGTGGAAGCTGGGAAGCAAAGGGTGTAGCCTGTATCTCCCTCACACAGGAGACTTGGGCCCTAAGTTCCATGCAAAGCAGCTGCCTGAGAGCTTGGAGACCACAAGAAGCCAAAAAGCTTAGGAGCTCGTGGAGACCTGGATTTCCAGCTGTTTGGCAGCCCATCAGGCAAGAAGTCAAGGATTCTATGAAAACTAGAAGCCAAGGAGCCTGGCAGGCTACTCATCAGCCATCTGGCTGACAAGAGAAAAGATGAAGAGACATGTTGGTTATTTAGCCTGCCTTTCTGCCTGGTTTCTGTCAAAACTTTTCAAGAAGTCATTGTGTTCTTATGGAAGGTTTTGATTCCATTCCATTAGCATTTTTTGATGGAATACTGTTCCACTGGAAAATATTTGACCAGCTTTTCTTGTAGCCTGGTTTATTAACAGCTACACATGCTAGTCAACCACTCGTTGTGTAGCTTCTTTACTTTTAAATCTGATTCACTAATTGAATTTTTAAAATCTAGAAAAGATTTAAACCCCATCCTCCTCTATTTCTTTTTTTCCTCCCTTCTTTGTTTTTCCCTTTTGTTCATGTCACTCTTTTCCTGTCTTTATGCTCTCACTTGCCACTGGGAGCTCTGTAGGTCTTAGAGCAAGAAAAGAGCATGGAGATCGTTGTTTCCTTTGCTGCATAATATATACCAGAAGATTTCAAGCAATCATTCTGTCAAGTGATGAAACTTTTGACTGAACTAAAACATATTTTATACTTCATGCTGTTTGTTCAGATTCTCAGTGGTCTGTAATGATGAGTGGTACAACATGATATGATTGCCTTCTTATATCCCACTCTATTTCTGGAACCATGCCAGACATGCAAAAGCAAACAATAACTGTTTTAGCAACTTCTTTGTTTGTGTTGTCACTGACTTGATAGTTTAACTACACCATCCTCAAAACATTGTAATATTGCTGTCTACACTTCTACAATATGAAATTACGTATCAGTGATGACTATCTCATAAAGATATTAATGATTATAAGAAGTTGTGTATGAATTTTGTTTTCCTTTTTCACTAAGCAGCTGTAATATAGAAACTTCTTTCCATTTCTTTATTTTGAACTTTAAATTGGTTTGAGCACTAGAATGAGAAGCTATTCAGTTGGGAATAGCAAAAGGAAAGGAAAAGCTTCCTTCATAAAAGAAAATGTAGTTTAAAGGTGACTTTTGATAACTAAAGCTTGTTTGCCCAGCCGTAGCTTTACTTATTTGGGTAAAAGTGATTCAATTCGTCAAATTAGCTTTGACTCCTTAAACTTTTTAAGGTGTCCTGAGAGTGAGATATCTTTAGCAGAGAAATTTTGTATTTCAGGTGTAATATATTTTAAAGATAAACACAATGTATTTTTGTAATAACGTGTTTACCTTTAAATCTTTCAAATAGAGAAAACAGTTTTCACTTTGGAAGAAATAAGAAGGGAATTATGCTTTTATGAAAGAAGCCAGTAGTTCTTATGCAATTCCTGTATGTCTCAACTTAAAGCTGATGAACTTTATTTACTCACAGAAAATAAACACAAAAAACATAGAATATGACAATGAGAAAATGCAAAAATCCTAAATGTTCTTCTTGTATAAGTACCACAAAAATCAAGTCCTGCAAATACCATAATATTTTCTGCTCTTGATTAGAAAACCTGCAAAATACTGTGATCTGTGTCACAGTATTTTTGCTCTTGGCTGAAGCCAGTACAGAAGTGAAAAAGGGAAAGTTAACTGAATCTTGTTAATAGTCACGCTGGCCAGCAAGGTACAAGTATGTAGTAAGAGTAGGGGGATGAGGCTTTTAGTAACACAGCAGGTAACTTTTCTTGCCTCAGCATCTGTGCCAGATTGGTGTGTTTTTACTGCTTGAGATTGCAAACTCCTCCCCTTGAATCCAGTTTTAAAATAATATTTCTCATACTTTCTGAGGATAAAAGCTTCGCTCTCCACTACTTAGAAGATGTGGTCACATGAAGTCATGAAAGATTCTGTTATCTCTTCCTTTCTTCTTTAGCCACCTGCAACATAATTTAACAATCCGTGTTTTTTCATGTGACACCTCAGGTTAAATGTTGCATTAAAAAGTATATTAATGATGAAGATATAAAATGAAGATATCTCCTGTTAATATAACACTTTCTTCCCCCTTTCAGTTTCTTTTTAACATTTTTATGAATTCTTTAGATGTCTTTGTGTTTGACCTCTTACTTTGGTCAACTCAGGAAATATTGTTAAAACAGATGCATTCAGCTTATCGTTACCATGTGCAGGCAGATATATGCAATAAAATTATCTGGTTTATTGATTGTCAGTGATTTTATCAATGTTTTTATCTATGAAGATAGCTTCTTAGGCTTTATTCTTAACATTTTTTTCCCACTTAATTCTACCTGAATAGCCCTGTTAGGACAACCAATAAATAAGATTTTGTTACGGTTGGTAAGGAAGTGGGACACGTGGATAAAGCATAGTACAGATAAATATGAAAGCTAAACACATACCTATAGCTGGAAATTACAAACGCTTTGGGTTGTTCAACAAAGTAAGTTGTTTATTAATTAATTTAGAAGGTGAAATTTGAAGATTGCATTTTTTTGCTATTGAAACAGAAAGTAAAGAAGTATTTCCAAAGACATGTTATATATTCTTTTTTCTCTTACATTAATAAAAGCAGTGTAGATGAAAATTCCTGAGAGCATTTGAAAACTAAAATCACAGAAGTTACTTTACACTATGAGCAATATCTGATCATTAATGCAAAGAACATAGATTCAGAAGAATTCAGTTGTAGCCTCTGCAATTACAGGCACAACTTCATAGAAATTCTTTTTGAAATTTTGAGGCATGGCAATTGAATAAAATAAATACACATATTTCAGTTTAGAAATATATTGTACATAGCGTGTGGTTTTGCTTAAACGATACAAAAAACATTGTCTTTGTTGTTTAAGTTTCTCCAAAAAAGAGAAATCTTGTACATAACATAATGGATTTTAAAGCCCTCATTTTGGTCCTTCTTTCCGTTCATTGTTCTTCAAATTTCTTGCTGTTTTGCTTTTCTCTTTGTCTTGCACAGACCACCAGACTACACCCAAAATCACATTTGGGAAACTTCCCTGACATGTGGTTTCTGCAGTTTCCCTCTGCTTTTCATCACTGGTAGAAAGCTCTGTCCTTGTGTTTACTTGGTTTCACAGATGATTATTGAAACTCTTTTCTTTCTCTTACTGCTGAATTGTTTATATGTTATTCCATGACTTTAGTGGGATGTGCTCCAGTACAAAATGTGGAAAGTATAAGCTTGTCAGAAGAGAAATTCAACAAATAGGGCTATAATCACCTGGAAATAAAATATGTACAGGTAGAAAAATATAAAATGTTGGTATTGATTCATTAAGATGAGATAAAGGCTATTTATCTCCTCATGGAATATCTTTCAACAGCAGGAATATGGAGGTATCTGAACCATGCAGAAAACCACAATTGTGTTCAGGGTCCTTTCAAATCTTAGACCTTGTACTGTAGCACTTACCTGTTGAACAGAAGCCTTTCTCATTTGTTGAGGCAATATTTATACACAAAGTAATGCTGTAGTGACCTTCAAAGTTTGGAAGTAAACATAAAATCTTTCATTTCCTTTTCTCCTCCCATGTCTGGTAATTGAACTTCTAGCCCTTGAATACATGTAGGTAAGAAATTGTAGAAAGCTTTCTCTTTAACCTATTACATATCACCTTGGATTGGATTTTAAAATTTCCTGACAAACATGAAAACTGATATGGACAAACTGTTTTAATTCAAGTGATTGTTTGTAGATGTGATATGCATACACTAGCAATTATAGAGGAACATTGATGCTGGTGTATCCATGGGAAACCCTCTGTACGCCCACCTGCCTCTACATACAGCTCACATGGTAATAAAATGGCAGAGCATTGCCCCTCCTTCTCTTTCTCAGCTGCTGTTCTGCACCACAAACCTATATTGTCCTTCTTCTGAATTTACATTCTGTTTTAAATTCTATAAGGACCTCTGTTATGTGTTTGTTTTGGGGGTTTTTAGGACTTTTGCATGAAGCGCACTTCTGGATGCTGCCCTTTTTCCACATGCTGTGGTGTCTGTTGTCTACCCTTACACAGTTTGGCCTTAAGCTCTCCCTTCCAGTTTCAAGATTTGTTCTGCCTTTGGCAAAAAATGTTTCATTCCCAATGGGCCTGCACACTGCTTTTGCTTTCTGTGAGAAGGAAACATCACAGCTAAGAGTTCTGTTTGACATTTAGTCCCAGAACTAAAAAAAGATGAAACTGCAGTATCTTATGAAATTTTCATTTACCAAGTCCATGATTTGATGGATTTGCTCACCAAAGCTGACACAATACAGTTGGACCCTACTCTGTTCATAAATCAGCCCCCCAAAAGAAATAAATATAATCAAAACCATGCTTGGTCTTCAGGGTCCCTCCCTAGCCCTAGGAAAGTTCAAATAATCCATGTTTGCACTTACATGAAGTCCAGAGGCTTCCAGGAGAGTGTCTAGTAGTTTTTATTCAAAATTCTCCTAGTGGCCTGTTGAAAGAAACAAATCAAAGCAATTCCACTTACAGACTTTTCTTTCTATCCCTGCACATTTATCACCACTGAGGAGCACAAGCTGAAATTTATCCTATAAAGTTACTGCCAGCCATTTGACCACCTGTCTCTTGATCCAATGTAGTAACAGTTTGACACCAGACTGTGCAATGCCACCTGCAGATGTGCCACCATAACATCACTTCAAGAAGTCCGTGCTCAGGAAATCTCTAAATCAGAGAGTTTCATACTGAATAACCCTTAATGGATTTTCTTTATTTCTTTGAATTTGCCTAACATGTAAATATTTTGAGAGCCACTGCAATCCTGTTTCAAGGACTTACAACTTCTCAACTGTACATCGTTTAAAAGCAACTTTGATTCTGAACATGCCACGTACTGATTTTATCTGATGATTCCAGTTCTCCTAGAAGAGAGATCCTGGTGTGCTCTTTCCACTCTACTCAAGGTTCTGTATATCTATATCACACTGCTCCTTCTTTTGCTTTTATTACCTTGAATGTTCTAATTGGTTAGTCATTCCTTCTGCAGAACAGTTCCCTACCAGTGATTATTCTTGTTGTCTTTCTCTAAACCTTTTTTTAACATTATGATAACTTTTTGAAAAATGGATGAGATCTGCCCACTGTATTCAAGATCCAGGCACACTGTTTCTATTTCATTTTTATGGGTAAACATAGACATTTTTCCAGGGTAGTTTTTGTGTCCTTTATTCGCATTTTACATTGATTTTTCATACTCTGATGTACACCATGGTTTTCCCACAGTTGCTGTCATGACTTGTGTAACTTTCCCTCTTAAATATTCCTGAATACTATTGGCATTGATACAAGAAAATAATATTGTCATTCCTTTGTCTTAGCTGTCAGACTAAATGTAGGAAACAGGAGACACTTTGAGAGCCTAAAGTGTCTGTTGCTGTGTTAGATGCCCTGAGGTGTGCAAGGCACCCATCTGGCCACTTTGATACTACTGATAAGTGAGACTTGCACCCTTCTAAAGTGACAGCTGGAGATTTTTATACCCTGAGGTATGAAAAATGATAAATACCTTTATTTAGGCATTGAATTTCTGCCTGTATGGTGGCATATAAAATAGTCTAACTCTCATATGTCAATCAAAAGAGCTCCAAGTTCCAAATAGCCATATTTCTTGGTGAAGGCAACGCAGCAATAGCTGCAGTTTTGAATAAATATGTCATGCCAATCTCTTTTTTAAACATTTGCATACAAATACTGATTGAATATTTTAAAACTGTGTTTCTTTTGATTCACATTTAGAATTCTGGGGAAATGGTTCGATCATTTGTTGCCGGCTTGGAACTGCTAGTCAATTTGCTAAAATCAAATGATAAAGAAGTTTTAACAAGTATATGTGCAGCCATTGCAAATATAGCTAAAGATGAAGAAAACTTAGCTGTTATGACAGATCATGGAGTTGTCCCTCTGTTGTCCAAGCTAGCAAACACAGTAAGTAACATTTAAAGATATCATCAAAAGTGTTGGAATTTCTTACTTCAGACTGCATTATGCCCAACTGAAGGGTTATGACAAGAGCAGTAGATTTTGCAGCAGTTACAAGGAAGAGCTGTAGCATCATTCCTCTGTGGGACATATATTGGACATCAAAAGAGTCTGTGTCTGCTACTAAAATTGGTTTGGAAGATGAGCTTTGTTTTAATAGTTACTGTGGCAGAATATTGCTTTTGAGTGGTGCAGCTGCTATATGAGAACAGCGCAAAGGGTTGAGAAAACAATTAATCCGAACATGCAGAAGAATCTCACTGATGGGGTTATATTTTACATTTTATTGCTATCTTATCTAATTTCTATTCAGTCTAAAAGTACATTTGAAATAATATAAAAATTCATAGTACTTGCTATAAAAAGAATATTAAGGGACTTTAATAGCTCTATGCCTTACAGCTCTCTCCAGTTTTAATTGTACTGCAATTAAATTGGGATGCCTTAAAGATGTGTGGGAATACAATTTTGCTTTCCAATGATTTTTTTGTTATGTGTTGACTTTAATTTGTTATGTTTTTACCTTCTTCAGAACAATAACAAGTTAAGACGTCACTTAGCAGAGGCCATTGCCCACTGTTGCATGTGGGGCAGCAACAGAGTTGCCTTTGGAGAGGCCAAGGCTGTGGCTCCTTTAGCACGTTACTTGAAGTCAAAGGATCCATTAGTTCATAGAGCTACAGCTCAAGCTTTATATCAGCTTTCAGAGGATCCCAACAACTGTGTCACCATGCATGAAAATGGAGTGGTGAAGGTGAGGTCGAAGCTTTTTCTTATTTGGGGCTCAAACTATTGAAGAGGTTTGGCATGGTCAAAAAAAGATATCTTTAATTTGAAATAATTCTTGAATATTGCTGTGTACCTCAAATTTTCTAAACTTTATCCTAAAAATGTTTGGCTAATTAGTGAATTAGGAAGCAGGATTTTAGTGTCAAAACTACTACAGCTAGGTGGGTTTTGAGAATGGAAGTATGATGTGGACATTCACCTTTAGAGTACTCAACTCTGACCTAGGCTGGTGGTGGCATGACATCTGCATTTTGTTGTTCTCAAGTGACATTTGCTAAAGAAGTTGAGTTATCTTAATGGATGGTTGCCTAACATGGCAGCATGACACTTAGACATTGAGTGTAACTGGATTTGGGGGCAAATTAAGATACCATAATACAAAGGCTTAGTTTACCTGGAGCTGTTTTGGTGAATTCTGAATTTACTTATAAAATTCTTATTTTAGGAGTTAAGCATAATCACATTCTGCAAAGATCTTAGAACAAAATTTTCTTTCAAAAAGATTTTTTTAGCAAAGTTTTGTCTCACTAGTTGAAGTCAGAGGAGTTGCTCCTTTGGCACAGGAGAGATGAGCATTATGGCTTTAGAGGTGGAGACATTAGGAGTTCTCAATTTTCATAAATTCCCTGAAAGATTCACTGTATGCAGACCTTTCATTTTACTTGATGTTCAGGTAAATGTATTTGCAGTAAGAGTTGACTTACAATGTAGTGTTATTATTAATGTTGATTTATGCCTGCATTTATGATCATGTACTTCATTGTGAGCAGTTTCAGTTCTGGCACAGTTAAAGGTGCTGAATTATCATATGTTTATCTGTGCACTGTTGGCCTTAAAGGATCCACTGGTCAAAAATACTTAAATATTCAGTTTAAGGTCCAATACTTGAACTTACTCAAATCTAAGCTACCCTTTCAGCACTGGAGAGTAACACCTTGCTATCACAGTCACATATATTGGCTATACAGCACAGAGGAATATATGCTGTACTACAACATTAGCATTTGTTGATTTTAAATCTTGCTTCTCTCTCTGTTTAACTGGCACAATCCATTTTCTGAGCTCCTGTCATCTGTTTTCTTTCAATTTATTATGGAGATTTCAGGTTTCATAAGTTGCAGCACACTGATTCTGATAATGCACTTTTAGAGTAATTCCACCTCACTCTAGGTTCACTTTATTTTTCAGTCCTAGTTAAAGCGTTAATAAACACTTTAAATAAAAAGCATTAATTTGTACTTCCAGATAAATAGGGATGTACAGATAAATATAACAAATTTTTAATGTTTTTTATTATTCACAATATTCTGGATTTTCCAGATGTGCTCGTCCAAGTGCTTTTGTTCTGTTTTGCCAGAGCTGAGCAGATCACAGAGTAAATCAACACATGCACCATGGCAGCTCAGGGCACACATGACCAATCCACCAACACTTAAGAGCTTGACTCCCTTGCTGGCACTATTGGAATTGCCATCGAGAACCAATAACTGGAGTTTCAGAAAGGCTGGATAGGCATTCCCAGATGGGAGGAAGAGTGGGTAGAGATTTAATTGCAGAAATGCACGAGTCAGAGGGCTGAGTCTTTCCTGGCCTGCTCAGTTGGTCTGCCCAACATAGGCAAGATAGTAGTTGCAGCACTCTGTTGGAACCTTGGATGCTGAGAATTTTAAACTTTCTGTGCTGAAAGGCACAGACTCACAACAGAGCACTGCATTTGACCTGAGGCTGTGGAGAAGGCTTCCAAAATTGATTAATAGCACTGGGATTATAGGTGTGTAGTTGGTTAGAAGTGTGATATACAGGGTGGAAAACTTCTGAGTTTGGGGTTTTAGAATATAGTAATAAATATGAAGCAAGGTGAAGGTTTTAGGGCGGAGGCATGTTGCTCCTCTTCTTTACTTTCTTCTTCCTGCTTCCTCATGGGTTTAGGTGGTATTTTGTAATTGGACAGAAAAGTCCGCATTGTGGGCTTTGAGAGATCAGTTATTGGATTAAAAGGGAAAATAACCTAGGTGTCATTTCTTAATTGGATATTTTAGCCTTAAAAGACCTTGTAATAAGAGATAGTTAGCCATTTTGTGCCTTGCTAATGAAAGACTTCAGAACTCATGGCTATGGCTGTAGCATTGATAAGAAACAATAAACACCTGAGTCTGAACATGAACTATCATCTGGAGTTCCTTCAATCCTGACCCCAACAGAGGCAGAAAAAACAAGCAGAGAGCCCACAGCACTCTGTCTGTGCCCTTGGATATCTTTGCTCGGTGCTTTGCAGTAATTACAGAATGCCTGGGTGTTTCCATTCTTCTAGCCTCTCCAGTGAGTAGTTGACTGAAAGCATACTTTGTATTTACGTACAGGTTATTCCAGGACCAATCATATTTTTTCTAGGAAACTTATTTGGATTTGATTTGGTTTTTTTTCATCTTTTACCAGATATCTGGTGTTTCAGTGATCATGCACAGTTGGATTAATGTCTCAGCCTCTGTAGTTGTGACTGGATTGCCTAATTCCAGGTGTTCTTCAGCACGTGCTCATGTGCTGTGTTCACATACAAAGAATGTGTGATGCTTCAGGGAAACATTTAGCCTGTGTGAATGACACAATTGCTGAGTGCTGTAACAGTTGGTCAGAGACTTTCTCAAAGCATTAGACTTTTTGACCATTCCCTATTCAATATATATATACATGTTTTTGTCCAAGAAACCAGTAATAAAGTTATAAACAGAAAATAATTCCAATCAGAGTGTTGTACCTCACATTTTGCTACTGCTTCAAACATTATTTGCAAATCACAAAACAACAGTGAGAGAGAACCAGTGTTGGATATTTTCACCTATTTGTAATTGCATACAAAAAACATTCAATTTTGTGAAGTGAGTCTAAATTATAAAAATCTTGGAAAGTCGGTGGTCTGTGTCAGCTGCCATGTGAAATTCTGAGGAGACAAACAGGGATTTTGGAGGAAGTTTAGAAAGACAGTTTATGAAGTTATTCTTTTATGTTCAGTTTCACAATCAATGTTCTTATGACCGGGAATGGAACAATGGTTATGACCTGTGACAGATGAACAAATGCTTTCTTTCTACCAAACACCAGAGGTCAGATGAATAAATGCTTCCTTTCTACCAAACATCAGAACATATTTCCTCTTTCTCAAGTAAAAATTCATGGCTGTGCTGGAAAATAGATTTGCATTCTCAAAGATGCAGTAACATCAGTGCCGTAACAATGCAGTAATGTGCATTTGCATTTTTGAAGATGACATGTGGAGCACTAGACAGCAAGAGAAATTGATAGACATCAGAGTAAGGAACAGGTATCAATTTGAATTCAGGATTGGAGACAGCCATCCAGAAACCAAGGAAGGAGAGAAATCCAGTGAGGGTTTGGCAGTTTACAGCTGAGATAAGCAGGAATATCAGGCAACATTCTTTATACTTGGAGTCTGTGACCATTATAGAGAAAAAGAAGATAAGAGAAATAGGAAAATTCACAGGCAACTGAAAGCAGCCCCAAGCCATCACCACTGTTTCCATTCATGGAAACAGCAGAACATTTCTCTCAAAGCTATTGCAGAGAAACAATGATGTCCATCTATATTTGCCTGCTGCTGAAACTTTAGAGCAATCAAGCTCATTCATGAAAAATGAGTCTAACTGTGAGCTAAAGAGTACAGGTTTGTTACAAGGGAGGCCCTTGTAAGACAAATTGTAAAAAGACTGGGGAGAAATAGGAGACTAAGGAAGTGCAGTTACTTTAGTAGTGAAAAGATGATTGTAAACATGTTTTAAAGGAAGAAGTAAAGTCATCAGAAGATGCAAAAAGTATTTAAATAATTTTCCTACAGACCATGTCAAGATAATACAATGCTACTCTGTGCTTCGGTTACTCTTTTTCTTGCTGATGTTGGCAAGCTGTAGATTTAGATTGTTTCTGAGGTGAGTTAGGGAGGATGGGGGTGTAATAGGACAGGCACCCATGCAACTGCTCATAGTATACCTTCTAAAAGACTTCAGGTATTAAAAAAATTCAAAGTATATACACATGAAAAACATGTTGCTGATTATTCCTGGCCATTCTTCTTTCACAAATGAATCAAGGTGAAAGATAATCTCTCATGGAAGTTAATTTCTGCTATTGCAGAAGTTAATTTCTGACTTTGTAAGTGATATAAAGGATTTGGTTTTGTGGATGATGGAGGTGGTGGTGGTGATGATGATGATTTCTGTGTAAAAAAGGCCTAGGAAGTTTGATTGGCTTCATCATCTACAGAGTTGAGGTCAGTCTTTTATTATGATGCTAATGAGACTGAGAAATGTCTGAGGAGATTATTAAAGCAATGAAAAAAGTAAGAACAAGAGAAATAAGCAGCCAAAGTCAGGCTGTGGAAGAACAAAATTAATCAAATTAGTAATTCATCTTAACTTTATATGTTTATACAGTACACATGCCAAACTGAAATAGTCGTCCCAATTCTTATAATAGTCAAGGAAGAAGAATAGTTTTTTTACTGTTTCATCTCTTTTAATTTGGACATTTAGCAAAGATAAGGCACCTTGGTTTCTACAGGCAATATTTTCTGGTTTCCTTTGGCAGCAATGACAGTGCAGATTCAAAGGTTAGAGCTGCACATCTATGCTGTAGGTATCTATGTTTAATGGGGGGAATCCCATCCAAGGCAGTGGAAAACTTTTAAAAATGAGCATACAGTTCATTTCATTATTAGATAGGAATGACAGAATTCTGAATAATAGTGCAATAAGAAAGAGCTATTAAAAATATTGATTTTTCTTTTCCTAGAAGAATACAGATGAGTTGAATTTATATGCTATGATGGTGATGAAACTCAATCTGCCCAGCCGTAACTGAAGCACGCATTGAGTATGATCTAATAATGCCAGATGTTTTAAATTAGTGGATCTAACTAACTTGAATCCAAGGATTTTGAAAGAGATCTTTGGC